AAGTTGCTTAGAGTCTAGCCACACATTGTAATCTTCCCACCTCAGCCTCCCTGTTTATTATTTATTTATTTATTGGTACCCAGTATTAAACTCATGGGCACTCAACCACTGAGCCTCATCCCCTGCCCTATTATGTATTTTATTTGGAGACAGGATCTCCGTGAGTTGCTTAGCGCCTTGCCGAGTCGCTGAGGCTGGCTTTGAACTCTAACTCCTCCTACCTTAGCCTCCCTAGCCTCTGGGATTACAAGCATGTACCACCTCACCTGGCAATTATCGTTTTTTTAAATTAGTTTTTTGTGCCAGGTGTGGCAGCACAGAGCTATAATCCCAGGGACCTAGGAGGCTGAAGCAGGAGGATTCCAAGTTCAAGGCCAGCCTCAACAATTTAGTGACTCTGTCTCAAATGGGGATGTAGCTCAGTGGTAAAGCATCCCTCGATTGAATACCCAGTACCAAAAATAAAGGATAAAAAATTAGCTTTTGGGGCTGGGGCTGGGGCTCAATGGCAGAACGCCTGCCTCGCACATATGAGGCACTGGGTTCAATCCTCAGCACCACATAAAAATAAAAAAACAAAATAAAGATATTGTGTCCATCTATAACTAAAAAATATTTTTTAAAAAAATTAACTGTGGCTAATATTTACAATAGGGCTTAATATGAGATTTAGTTTATGTAGTGTACAAATAATTTAGTTTAGGTACTATACAGATAATTAGCATATCTGCCATTTAGTAGGGGTATTAAAAAAAAAATAATGAATGTGGCTTGGGAGGCTGAGACAGGAGGATCACAGGTTCAAAACCAGCCTCAGCAACAGGGAGGCACTAAGCAACTCAGTGAGACCCTGTCTCTAAATAAAATACAAAATAGGGCTGGGGATGTGGCTCAGAGGTTGAGTGTCCCTGAGTTCAATCCTCAGTACCCACTCCCCTAAATAAATAAATAAATAAATAAATAAATAAATAAATAAAAATAAAGAATGAAACAAGGGTTGTGGATGTAACTCAGTGGTAGAGCACTTGCCTAGTATGTGCAAGACCCTGAGTTTGATCTCCAGCATGACAAAAAATGGAAGAAAAACAAAAACAAACCTGTCGATGAGGCACTGACCAATCAGAATGGCT